GTATCCAATTAAAAAAAACTCTTATATCTCTGTTCATACATTTGTTATGGAAACAAAATTTATGCAAACTAACCATCTTTAAGTTGTGTTTCCTACTCTGGAAATCACCCCTTAGAGTAACCCTAGAAACTGCAGCTCTGGAGATCAGGGTAACCCTAGAAACTGCAGCTCTGAATTCATCACGTTGTAGCATCTTACTGGGTATAACAGACTGGCTTTAGCACAGCGGTGAACTAATAGAGGCTGCATGGATAGCTATCTTCCTCTGGCTATTAGAATGCACTGGTCGATTGAGAATAAAATTTCCATGTAGTTTGGGTACGGTGACATGAAAGAAGTTGCAGACTGTTCAGTGAGATCGTCACTTGTAGGGTTATAGGATGGAGGAAGAAAGGGAGAGTGAGAGGGAGAAGTTTATTTATGGAATGTCAGGGGGCCATTGAAGCTCAGCAGGCCCTAGAAGCTGAGGACTTCCCCCCGTGCTTGTTTTCTCCCTCTGACCTTGGATGAACTAGTGAGCAGTATATTATGCCGGGTGATTGTGCTGGTTTGTCATGGTTAGCATTCTGGACTGTCACTGGAATGTAGGAAACGGATGAATTTGAATTGAACCATGAGGTGGTCTGCTGGGCCCTCTCCTTGTCTCAAGGAAACCTGTCGCTGTTTGTCTGGGCTGGGCCTAATGAAAGCAATGGAGGGAGAGAGAGGTGGGCCTTTGATCTCTTTGTTGCAGCTGCTCCCTGGGAACTCGCTGAAATCAATGCCCTGTTTTCCTGAAGGAATGAATGGCTCTGCCTAACTAGCTTTGTGAAGCCGTGGGGAATTCACTGCCTCTGTTTATTGACAGCTGAAAAGGAGCACATGGGGTGGAATGGACCTTCTTGTGAAAACCAGGCACAGGGAAAATTAGACCTCAATTTAACACAGAGGAATTGGGAAATTCACCCCAAAGGAGACGGGAGTTTCTCATGCTTACATTAGAATTACTCAAGTTTGGAGCTAGTGTGCAATGAACAATGGAGGTTTTGTCACAACTATGTTATAAGTAGGAATATGGTCTGCATAATAAATGATGTTAAGTAGAAGTTGATTCTCCACCCTCCCTCTTTTTTTTTAAATACAGAAGTAGAGAAAAACAAATATTAACCATGATATAATCAGCTGATTCTTTTATTTTTGCTTTGAGAGGGAAGAAAACTGATACAATAAGCATTATTAGTATTATCTGGAAACACTCTAAAATCCATCTTTCATTCATTATATTTTAAAACATCTTTGAACTTGGAAGCTACATTCCACTCATGCCAGCGATTCATGCCATTCTGGATTGTGTGCATTGCATGGGAATATTACAATAATAATTTTTATTTTTTTAAATTCTGTATTCTTCGGATATTGTAACTGGAAGTCTGTGTCAAACAGAAAGTGGCTAGTAGACCAAGATTTGTGCCTGACATTGCACCAGCTGATACATCTTAAAATTACCACCTTACTTTTTAGAACACACCAAAGAAAAATTCTTGAGTTTATCACAAGGAAACATCTCTGAGATACCTTCTTTCACATCTCCCCGCACTTGCTTGATTTCCCAGGAAGAATTTATGGCTTCTTCCTTTGGCCCCCCCAGCCCTTTGTGCACACCTCTATTATAGCACTTAACACATGGCCCTGTAGCTCTTTATTTAGGTGTATTCTTTTAGCTGGAAGTAAAGCAGCTGTGTTGTATTCATTTTTATATCTCAAGCCTAGCAGAGCTCTTGGCTCAGTAAATGCGAGCTGAATGAATGGGGATGGATGGCTCCCTGTACATTCCTTTGAAAGTAATTACTTATCCCAGTTTCAGCTGCAAATACTAAATTTTGGGAGAATCTGATTGGTCTCTTGTTACCTGATTGTTGCTATTGCTATTAAAAATTCTTCCTCTATGGAGTACTATTATGCACTTTTTTGCTTTAGCAAGTTTGTCAGGCAGTCCAGGGCTCTAGAAGGAAGCATCACCAGTGTGTGGCATTTTCCTTTTCAGATCCAAACTCTCGTCTCTGTTATTCTTTCCTAAAAATAAACCTCAGCGTAATGTTTAGATATTTCCATTAAGAAGATGAAAAAGCTTTTCATTTAGAATTTGTAGACTTTTACTTGACCGAATTTAGTGATTGAGATGGATAAGACGGATAAAGCTGCCATTTTACATGATTTAATTCTGTGATGTAACGTTGAATAATAACAAAACTCAAAACCTCCCTTGACAATTTCTTTAACCAGATTTACTACCATTGCATGTTTTGAATTCCTTATCAGAGAAAGCAAACACACAGCTTTGCTCCTTAGTGAAAAGTCTAAGGGAAATTTTGATTCTAAAGCACTGACTAGTCTGATTTCACAGAACCCTAGGACAAACCCAGTTTCTCAGCTATTCTCAACTTATACCCTATTTCTTTTTAAAGCCAGAACCTGAAGTGAGAAATTGTTGTCAATATTTTTGGGGAAAATAACTTATCAAAATCGTAATGGAAATTTTTAGAAAGTGTTGTAAGAGAGAGTAAGTAAGCAGACAAGTACATGAACGGGCTAATATTTTACTCTCCATGTTATTTTTGTTTTCACTACCAAGATTATTTTTAAAGAAGCCTATTTGCACTTCTGTTTTGATTAGTGGTAGAGGTAAAATTTCAAATAGAGGTTTACACATGTGTGAATTGCGGGAGGAATCTCGTGGAGGAAGGGGCGTTGGTATGGGTTGTACAAATAAGGTAGATTCAGTGGGTTGTAATTCTGCTGAGATTTTAGATTTCTTATGAAACAGGAAAATTACCATGACTTTGATCATCAATAGACTCTCACCCTCATAAGTATTAACTTGAAGATAAAAAAAAAAAAAAGCATTAAGCATAGCACTTAGATTTCATAACTTGGCTTCTCAATCCTCCCAATTTCTGGAAGTAATTTTGTGTGACATAACACCAAAGTAGGGAGAGGCAGAGGGTGGAGGGAAACGTAGGAAATCAGACTGCACTTTTCTATTTGATGTTTCAGCTTTCAGCGGTGAGGCTTATCTTTGTCCACATTAATAAAAAAGAACTACAGACAGGCCAGGGAAGTAACTCAGTTAAAAACTGTGTTCTTGCTATGCTTATAGAATCAGATAACTTCAACTATGCGATTCTCCAGAAAAGAGCCTTTTTCCTCAGACTGCAGACTGCTGTAATATCCAAGAAGAATAACTTCAAGTAACTTGAGAGTCAAACCCTCAAAATAGGTTTGGGGATGGACATATGTTATGTCGCTGTGTTTGCATGTGTATTAATCTACGTTAGCAAACTTCCTAGTAGAAAAACACCAGATACTTCCCTCTTAGACAGTTTCCCATGCACCCAGACTGACTAAATAAAGCAGCCTTAATAAACATTTATCTAGCCATTGGAAATGAGACATCCTCCTTACCCACTAGATTTAACTGCTAGAATAGAAAGCTATTCTGAAATATAGAATTATTTAAAATTAAATAATGTATCAGTTGTATAAAATCAGATATGAGTATTATAAAAATCCTCTGTAATAATTAGAGACAATCATTTGTAATTAATCATCTGTATATTAATTAGGCTGTTACAATACTTAGTATGTTTTTGGTAGTTTAAATGTTTACTTTGCAACATTACATATTGTCTCCTTTAGTGAGACATTTTTCTGCAAGGAAGAACCTCAATTCAAGAGGCAAAACTCCAACTCAGCTCATACCTAAAAGTTTATACCTTTTGCATTAGTAAGATTCAAATTGATACGGTTTTGTTATTTAAAAAAACACACCAGCGGCCTTTTTGGTCAAGGCATCAATGTGGGCTACTCAGAGAAGGGGGTTACTTAGGGGTGGTGCCCAATTATTCATCCAATCGGTTTGGACTGCTAATCAGTAATAAATTTACATCTTTGGAGGTGAGGGTTGATGGGCTTAAATTATTGATCTATTTCCTGTCTTCATTATTTTCACTGAAATATTTCCACGTCTTTTCGGTCTGTAAACATTTCACTGCTGCCCTCTTGTCACTTGCTGTCCAGTTTCTGTCCTTTTCCTTATCTCAAGGTGAATGATTGGGTCTGCACAGCAAATTCTTTTCTCCGGGCCTCTGCTGATAGCAGTGGTCTTGACTTAAAAAAAAAAAAATTGAAGTTAAGCCAAAGTGGGTTTAAAAAAATTTTTGTTTTCATCTTTTGCCTTTTAGTGGCCTTTTCTTCCCTCTTTACTCTCATCCCTGCTCAGGTTCTTGTCTTCTTTACCCAAAGGAATAGTGGTCTTCTTAGTTGATATGCTTTTAAAAGTTCTGATTATCTTAATTTTTTTTTTTTTTTTTTTTAGACTACATCCTGTTATGTTCCCCAGACTGGTCTCTAACTGCTGCCCTCAAACAAACCTCCTGCCTTGGCCTCTCAAATTGCTGGGATTACAGGCATGAGCAACTGTGCCTAGCCACGATTATCTTATAATTTCTGCTTGAGGCTGTGAGGTGTTTTTACTTGGGGGTCTCCAAAAAATAATTACAAATATACAAATACTCCCTGCTTACCAGACAATGTCAAGCATTTATCTCAAATTAGCTTCTTTAATTCTCAAAAGGGTCATTTGCTGTGGGTGTAATCATGATATCCATTTTACAGGAGAGGAAGCTGAGGTAGAGAGAGAAAACCAATTGCATGAGGTCTCTAAGTGGCTCCAGGTGGCACCAAGATGGGAATCTAAGCTGTCTGGCACCATACTGTGGTCTTAACCACATCACTGTATCACCTCTCTAAAACTAAAAATCCCTTAAGGACTTAAATGTGTGCCCCTGGAATGCTGGGATATGGCATTATATCATAGCATATTAATGGCAAGAGATTTTTGACCCCTGTTATCCTTGAACTCAAATTCTGTATAGGTAAATGTCAGCATACACAGTAACAATGTGGTTTTTCTTGATGCTTTTTTTTTTTTTTAAACCTTTTGATATTGTTTTTTTCTCTAGGATTGCCCTCACGTCGTCTGATGTGGCTTCTGCCTCGTGTCACATCTGAAACTCATCTGTACCTCACTTAGGTAAATATGTCTTATGCCGACCCCTCCACATCCTGCCCCCAGCACTCCCACCATCAGTCATGGCTCTGTGTTCTCATTCTCTCTTTGCATTACAGCACATACCTCCGCCTCCTCCACAGTAGAGAGGCTTATGTCCCAGAAAAGACTTCGAGAATTTACATTTGAGGACCTTCAGGCCTTGAGGGAAAAATACGGTTGGGGGGATTAAGTTGTGGACTTAATGAAAGCCTGTTTTTCACTCTAAAAAAAATCAAGAGGACATGCTAAGAACGATCATGGCTATTTGCCTTATATTAGAAACCAAAGGCATTGTACAGTTGATTTTTACTTATCATGGCTTGCTCACTAGAAACTTTGTGATCTCTTTCTATTTTAAAAATATGTTTTTAAATGGTTTCATCTTTAAAAAATACTTGGAAAAAAGTGAGGTAGTGTCCTCCATTTAGAATCAAATATCCAGAAGGTAACATATGTTACAATTCGAAGTCTTTAAACCACTCTCCTCAAATCCTAATGTAAGATGATTCTCAGCTTGCCAGATTTTCTAGAGTTGTGAAATAGGTTATGTCGCTCGATCCAGTGTTTATTTGAGGGAATGCATGATTGGCAGAGTCCCCATTATATATCAGAAGTTTTTATTTCTTATTTTCCACCACTCATGTAAAGATTAGGGTTTGTTTTAACTGCCTCTTTCAAGATAACGATTCCAAATTCCAGCTTTAAATTTCATATCTAACATTTTTTGTTGTTTTTCCCTGTCACATACATTAGTTCTAGGTTCAAGGCCGTGTCACCCTACAGCAACCTCAGTTGTTTTGCAGCTGCAGTGCTGTTGCTTAACCATAACTCTTGGCCTCTCTCCAGATGTTTTTTTGCAAAATGCCCTTGACGGTAATAATGCTGTATTATTTTTTTAAATTCCAGTTGTCTTCGTAAGTTTTCCTATATCCCATTTTACATTTGATTCCCCCCGCCCCAAACAAACCTCCCACTAGATAAACCACTTTCCGATCTATTCTTTATATTGAGGCTGACTTCTAGGACAACTGTTCACAGCTGCCTCGGGTGGAAGGCTAACTAGGAGAATATTAGGTCATGTGCTTGGATTCCTGTTCTCCAAACGATTCTGATTAAAACTAGTCCACTACCCCATCAACACATTCAGAAGGAAAAATGCAGCAAAATCCCCAAATGCCTTAAGCACTTCATTATACCATTTGGGTAACTTTATGGCACCTGTAGGACTAGTTCATGCCAGGCCCATTTGTAACTGTTTTCTCTAGTTAAACACAATATTGCCATTAAAAGCACAGCAAATAGGATGACACTGCTTAAGAATCTAGGAATTTCTCCAATGTGTGAGAAAATGTTAAAGTACAGAGTTATTTTATAAACACAAGCTGGGAGATAGAATTGTCATGATGAAGTGAATCCATTATTTATACTCTGACTTTCTGTTATATATATTATTCCAGAAAACACTTATTGGCTTTAAACTAACTGTAGGAACAAAACCTTGTATTAAGTAGAGCATGCATGCTGCAGAGTGGTCTAAGGTAGAGTAAAACCCATTATTGCACCACTTTTAGGTATGAAAATGTGTTATCTAGGAGTATCATTAAAATGTCCTTGCTTCCCTCCATGAACACAACAGAAAGTTAAAATGAAAGCAGTGTGGGGGCGAAGGGAGTCCAGGATCATTAACATAGGAGTGTTAAATATTAGAAAAGAAAGCACATTTCTCTATCAGTGTTTAATGCTGGAAGTTATGCATGCTTATACTATAACAAAGAATACTTTATTTGGGGAATAACTTAATTGATCCACGATGTGGCATTTACCAAGGTAATTTTTGCCTTTTGTTCCAGCAGTAGGAATTAGAGGTGATTCATAAAACACACAATCACCACGGAAATTGGAACCATGTTAAGATCATAGTCGTCTGACGTCGTTTCCCTAAAATGGTTCTCATTTGCCCCACATATTCAAATCAAAGTGCATGAGGATGTCGTTCTGAGTCAGGGAAGATTTAGAATGCTCTGCGAACAGTTTTATACTGAACTTCAGAGTTCAGTTATCGCATTTATTTGTGTGTGCGTGTGTGTACAGCTGGGTTTTTCGTTTGTTTTGCTATGTGAGTTGCTGTTTGGCCATCAGTGCATACAACTGAATCCAGGAGGATAATCGGTATGTCTGCTCTCTGACTTCTCTTTCCATAACACAAGCCTGAACATACTGCTCTCCTGATTAAAAACGTAATCAGTGGTTCTGATTAGACAGGACTTTTCGTTGCAGTCGACAGAAACCTAATGGGACCTTTGAAGAATTCCAAACAGGCAAGTGACAGGAACATATTTGCATGTTAGAAGAATCACTGCGACAGCAGCGTTGTCATTAGAATGAAGGGGAGCAGTCTGAAAACAGAGAGACTGGGGAACCAATATGGATCTGCCTCTAGCATGTGGAAATCTCTCTCTACACTGACCTGATTGACTCACCAAGCTGGTGGTGCATTTAAAGGAAGCCACATGAAAACTGAGTTTGGGCCAATAGAGTGGACTGGTTCTCCGTAGTCTAGCATTCCTTCCCATGCAATCCCCTATCCCTGCCAAGTTCTGGGCAACACAGATTAGAAAGTAGCCTCCTGTACGTAGTTGACCATGTTAGGTAGTGGGGTTGGGGCTGGGCCATGCTGGTGTTCACTAACTGTCTCTTTCTGTCTTCCCTTCTGGGTCTCACCTGTCTAGTGTGACAAGGGAAGCATGTGCCAACTGAGGCTAGACCCTTGTGAGACCAGAGCGACCCCACTTTTGATAAAGCAAGCAATCTCTGCTTGCACAACACACCCTAGCTTCCATGTTCCTTGCTTTGTGAGTTCTCTTCCTGGGTACAGTGTAACACAGCGTTCACGCCTCCTCATAACTAAAGTAGGTAGACGGGGCTTTGTGCCTCAAGCCCTAGCAGATCATCTTGGCAATTTCTGCCTCTGCCACAGGGCACTTGCTCCCTGGGCAACTCCTTTCCCAGAGCATCTTCCCTCTGGACATGCCCCTCAGATTTAATAGTGTGTCTACTTGTCAGGAAAATGGGGGTCCCTTGGTTGCTGATTCTTAGGAATGTGAAGTTCTCCCAGTCAGAGCTCTCGGCCCTAAAAATTCTAGTCTCTGCATAATGGCCAGCACGTATTTGGCATATCTCAAATCCTCTTCAGTTTCCACCAGGGCCTTTATAAGCTTCTTCTGAAGATCTCAGACATTCATCCACAGAATTGAAGCGGAATTTGTTTGGATAACGTGACTGACTTCAAAGCCCAGACCCCTTAGACATGCCCATTTGGTGCTGCAAGTACCGACCATTACTGCAACATCTTGCAGTCAACAAATTTGACACATTCAGGATTTATATCCTTTCTTCTGTGTTAGGAATCTTCCCTCCCCTAAAGCACCTCAGTTTCCAGCACACAATCATTTCCATCTTATGGAAATCAGCAGCCCTGCTCCGTGCCAACATGCTACGCTGGGAGGCACGTCCAGGCTTGGGAAACAGGGGTGTCCTGGGTCTCATGACTCCAGCAGCACCAGCTGCTCTTTCCTCTTCCAAGTAGACTTCCGTCCCCAACCCCCACTTTGGTGTTTTTGTTTGTTTTAGCAATTCAGAGCTCAAGATAAAGACCTTAAAGATAACTTTGTGTGTCTCTCCCTTTCTAGGTATTTGCATAGGAATCAGAGGAGTTAATCCTGTGAGTATACTCTAACATCTGCCCTTGTTTCCTTCCTTCCTTCTCTATCTGCCTCAGGGTTTTAAAGCGTAGGCCTGCTGCCTTCCCTGCCACCCCGCCCCTCCGCACTAGGCTACCAGGGCCTACGTGGAGCTTTGCTCCTCTCTCTGAGCTGCTGCCTTCTTTGAAAACTAGATTGGCTCCAGTTCCAACAGTTGTAGCTACTCTATAGCGCAGATGTGCACTGTTCCAAGGTTCTGCACTTTATTGAGGCGCCCCACAAGTTTGCATTTCACCTCACATCGTCAAATATGCAAGAGGCTTTACCGTTTTCATGCCCAGTAATGAAAATGGACTCCAGTCCCCCTCCTGCCAACCTAGTGGAAAATTCCATGTCAGTAAGTTTTACGTGCTTCCCCTTCCCCCATGGAGTGTGTCCTGGAACGTGGAGGTTTTCATGGCCTCTGGAAGATGAGGACCCTCATCTCATGACCACCTCTGACCTTCAGTTTATCAAAGTAGTGATTTATTGAATCCTTGTAACTATCTGTCTCTGGGCCGCCAGTGAAGGCTGGGAACCTCGGGCCTCTCGTCGGGCCTCTCGTCTGGCCTCTGGAGGCACACTCATCACTGGGCTGTCTTCTCAAGGATTCTACTCATTGCCACATGGGAACAGAGCCCCACAGGGGCCTCTCTTTCTGGGGGCTGACGTATCTCCTTATCAGATCCCGGGATGGGGGGTGGTTGGCCATGGGGGAATGGAAAGGAGAATGTCATTTTTGCAGCTTCGCCTCTCCCTCTCCTTCTCCTTTCCCAGAAGTCCAGCAGAATTTCCTCTCTGGGTTTAGATATTGTTAACAAAGACAGACTTCTTCAGGATGCTTCTTTCTGTCTTCAGCTGGATGAAAATACAAGGGATTACAAAGCCTGCTACCTATTTTAAATGAGCTAGAAAAGAAAATCATTGGGATTTCAAACTAAGTAAAATTGCAGAGTTGTTGTGCTAGGCTGATGTGGAGGCCCCAGTAAAGACAAACAGCACCCAAACAGCACGTGGCTATGGGAATTAAGAGAAGGAAACGGATTTGAGAGACAATAGATTGTAAAGCTTAATCTTTGAGAAGAATCTAGAACCCAGAGCTTCTAAGTTTGGAGAGGCTAGGAAGTGACATGGGAAGATGCTGACTTTTGACATGCACCCTGGGTTCACGGCCCAGCTCAACTGCTTGCTGGTTTTAGGGTCATGGGCAAATCAGCATAACTTCTAAGCCTTAGTTTCCCCATAAGTCAAATAGGATTAATGCTACCTACTCAGGCAGTTGTTCTGCCTACTCATGCGGTTGTTGAGGGTAAGAAGTAAAGTCCTTAAAACAGTAGCCATCACCTGGTGAGCATCTGGGAGACCTGATGGCTATTTTACAGTGGTGCCATTAGCTAAACAGGCAGTGCCTGAGAAGGAGCAAGTCTGGGGTTAAAGTTTAAAGCCCAAGGGGCGCTGCAAGGTTATCCCAAGAGTTGCAGGAAGGAGGTAGATGTATTCATCTGGAATTTGAAAGAAAGTTCAGGATTGAAGATAGAGATTTGGGAGGCTTCTGACTTCAAGAAGTAGTTGTAACCTTGGGTGGTGCATGGGTTCCCCCAGGGAGATCATGTATAATGTGAGAAGGTACAAGACCAGCTGCCAGGCTCACAAATCTATTCCAACTTCGAGTCACCCCTTAATACCACGCCCTCCTGTGTCACCTTTAAAATGATATCATTGTCTGGAGGTGAATCTGAATATCCCACTTGGAGTCTTCATTGCAAAGATAGAATCTCATTGTTCGCCATTGTTCGTCTCGCTGAAATAAGATTTAGTTGTTTGTAATCTACCAAATCGGGTGGTCTCCTTTCCATCTGGAAAATAAAATGTATTCGAGAGGCTTTTCAAAAGTAAACCTTCTGCATCTTCAATCTAGAGGATCCTTTCACTGAAAACCAGGACAGACTTCCCAGTGTTTGAGGGTTGCCCGGTTCTTTCTTACTCAAATCATTAGAAATAAAAAAGTCAGTTTGGAGAATTTGCTTAAGAAAAACCAGGAGTAGCTAGACATGAATGAGCTGAAACTGGAAGGAAATCCCTTTGTTCAATGTGGGTTTCAGTGAATGCCCAGCGGGCGGCTAAACCAGTTCATTAAGAGAGAAAAAGACGTGTTCTTAAATGCTGTTCTTAGAAGCAAATGCCTAGAAAAACATATTGTGATGCTGAAAACCCATCCTGGAACTCATACACTCTAGATTCATGAACTTTGCTGTTTGTTATTAACGAATAAACAAACTTTCCAAAAAATATTTCCCCCTTTATTTAAAACAATTAACTAATCCATTTACCATCTGCCAGTCTTTACCCCTAGAAAAATGTGATGCTTTTTGTTGTTCTGGAACTCGGAAACATTTATCATTAGGAATGTTTAATTTTATGGGGTCATTTTTAACCGCATACTTAAAAAAGAATAATTGACGTATGAAAACCTATTTTTCCTCTGCTTTAGAAATCTAAATTCTGACCTGAAAAGCAGTCTGCAAGTCATCCTGTCAAACTGAGATGTGTTATCTTTCCTGTCCCTTCTCTGCTTTATTAAATCGTCATATACTGCACACAGTTTTTCCCCAGCCCAGGCCTGCCTTGGGCTCTCTGTTGCATTGTTAACTATTTAAGCATTAGACTGGCGCAGAGATGGCAGGTGGGAAAAGCTGAAGGACTTGATCTCCTCCCTGCCAGAGTTCTCCTCTTTCACGAGTGCTGCTTACATTGAACAGCTTAAGAATAAGCTCCTGTGTGAGCCCTCGGAGGCCAAGGAGTATTGTTGAATTCAGAAAGGAATCGCTTTCTTTTTGTGATAATTTGAATATTTTGACAATGAAGCTAAGCTACTTCACTGCCTGGTTTGCGTACCTCGCGTCATGTGCACCCTTTCCTGGGAAGCAGAAGAACCCTGCCTCTCTGAATACATAAGTTGGTGTTGTCCATTTGTGAGATGGGTAGGCCCAAAGGAAGAGTCATCCAGAAGAATTTTACTTTAAAGTTTAAAGCTCTTTGAAAAAAAAATTTATAGAAGCCTTTGGAGACCATCCAATTAAACCACCACAATAAATGTTGAGCATTTTGAGAAAAGAGATGGACCATGAAGGTGATTTGTAAAGTGTTTATACAAGCAAAACAATGAATATGTTGGAAACAAATTCTCTGAATGACTCAGACAACCTGCTCACCTCCAGTTTTTTCCTGTATTGTGATGTGTTCTTTTTAAGACATTAGTTGTCCAAAAATGGCCTTGATTTTTCCTTTTTTAACTTAAAAGGATGTTCTCATACAAAATGAATGGGCATAACCCGTTTGATCAAATTAACAGAAGAAAACAGGCAAGTGAATAAATAACTTCAGTGAGATATTAACTGGCTTTGTTCCATAACAGATTTACCTATTTACTAGTTAAGAAAATCCTGAAAAGCTTTCCCTGTAAGAGGATCGATTGGTTAGAATAGTCTTGGTAGGAAGAAGCCAAGTTTGATAATTACTTGGTGAATGGAAATGCTGGTTTCCAATTGCTCACCAGGGTTCAGTGGCACAAAGCTGGCTGTAGACTTGGCTTCTGAAGACTTGGTAAAAACATAAATTCTTGGGGTCCCAGTGATGCTGTTTTAGTCTGCACTGATTTGCCCTGTGGCCGCCCAGGAATCTGTATTTTTTTTTTTTTTTTATCCGAGACGGAGTTTCTCTCTTGTTACCCAGGCTGGAGTACAATGGCGCAATCTCAGCTCACCGCAACCTCCGCCTCCTGGGTTCAGGCAGTTCTCCTGCCTCAGCCTCCTGAGTAGTTGGGATTAAAGGCACATGCCCACCTTGCCCAGCTAATTTTTTGTATTTTTAGTAGAGACGGGGTTTCACCATGTTGACCAGGATGGTCTCGATCTCTTAACCGCGTGATCCACCCACCTCAGCCTCCCAAAGTGCTGGGATTACAGGCATGAGCCACTGCGCCCGGCCGGGAATCTGTATTTTTAAAAGACTTCTGTGCTAATTCTAATGCATAGCCAGGTTTAGTAAGCATTTAACTCAATATTCGCCTTGGAGACTTCACCTATCTTGGACTGCATATTTGCTAAATCTATATGTTTATATGAAGCCCCTTTGTTGAGTGCCAACTGGTTATTTGTGAACTTTCTTTCAATTCAGGATTTGTTTTAGGTTCTGTTATTGCATAGATTTGCATACCTGTTTTATGGTATTTTAATACTGTTGGTTTAAAAAAAAATCATTTCCTCTGAGTGCTGTTTTGAATATTTTATGTAAGCAATTTCATGTGTTCTTTTTTACCACTTGCAGAAAGCAGGGGAGAAGTTGAGAGTTTTTCTTAATCCAGTGCAAGTAGGACAAAGGATATGCATACTTAAAGATCATCAATTAAAATGCATGAAAAAAACACTAAAAAATCTCCTCTGGACATCACCAGTTGTGTGTGCTCTAGAAGTGAAGCTCAGGGGATAGCACAATGAGGGAATGTTTTCCTAGATTCATTCACTGACGATGTGCAAGGTCTCTTCTCACAGGTTTGAATCGTCAGACAAACTTCTGGGAGGACTCGGTACCTGCCTCACTGCTGCTGTTTCCTGTCACTCAGTAGGTGTGCATGTTTTAAGATTATTTCTAGTCGAGCACGTTTATTAACAATTGCTTAGAAACCCATCATGGGCAAGAACATGCTGGAGGTTCAGGGTACTTCAAAAAGTTTCTAGTGGAAAACAAACACATTTCCCCCATAAACTGCAAAATACTGGAGGACAGGGGTTCTTTTAAAGCTCAGTACACTGCGTGTTTCGGGAATTTGATGACGCAGGTAGCAACTTTGCATGTCCTCTGCTGACCCACAGCCACGGCCTAGTAATACATGTAGATCTATGGAATTTTTGCAGGCAACCCCATCAGTTCAAAAACAAGAAAGTTGCCCCTGCCAACACTCGTAACTTGTGTGCGTAAGATGTGTAAGAGGTTGTCTTCTTTTTGTGGCAGATGTCCACTGAAAGATAAGCCTGGGAAAGATGCTGATCACATCCCAGCCCCAAGAGGAAATCCAGCCATACTTCCTGAGGATTTATTTGAAAACACTGTTGTAAAAGCTGTTGCTGAACTTTGATACTCACAGACAGTGTAACTAGGAGGGATGGCAAAGTATAAATTGAAAGAGCATCTGGCTTAGTTCAGAACACTTGGGAGCAACCTCTGTTCATCATCATTATCGTCACCAATAATGATATTAATGGAAGTTAATGCTTTTGGGGCACTCTGTGCTAGGCGTTTTGCTTAGGACAGTGTGTTACTTGCACTATCTCATTAGTCCATGCTTATGGGCAGTAAACTTAAATCCTCTGAGCCTCATTTTCCTCATTTGTCAAATGCAGACAATGATGCCTTTCTATCTCTCAGGGCTGTGCAATGGAAATTATTAGACTAGCATGAGAGAGCTTTATGAGCTCAACTGAAACAGTTTGTTAAATAGGATTCCAACTCCTACTGAAACACAATATTGTCACTAAATATTTTGATTTATTGACCAAGAAATTGAAATTCATCCCAGCAGGGCCAACATATCCACTAGGACCTGGGAGAGGCACTAGCAGCTCTAATTAGGGCTAGGAGCTTGGGAGGGTAGTCCTTCCTGTATCTTCTGTTTACAATGTGTTTAATGTTAGAAGACCGGGAGTGCTAGCCAGGAAGATCTTGGAATGTGTCTGCCCTGTATTCAGTGGGCCGTGAACAGGTGGTGGGTGGCGAACACAGCAGGCCTTGTCTGTCTCAAGAGCTGAAGGGGGCAAACCCAAGCCGGGCGGACAGGATGATTGCAAGGCAAGCAGGGGAGCAAGAGCCACTTGAGACACTGCTGTTGGCTGCTGGGGAGGAGCCGTGAGCAGGCAGCAGCGGTGGGAAATTGAGGCTTATTGTGAGCAAGGTGCTGGCCTCCAGGGCAACGGGGAGCGCAGAGCAGCACTTGAAAGCCGCCTGCGGATGGGCTGGGGGATGGACCACACATGTGGATTGCAAGGACAGCTACTTAGAGAGTTCACATTCCTCCCATTGAACTGGCTATGATTGTAATGGTTTGTTAAACAAACAAAGGACCCAAAGCTGTGAATGGGAAAGAAAAAAGACTTAAGGTGAAAAGGAGAAGAGGCCCTGCTTGCTAGTGTTCCACTCTTTTTAAGCTTTCTCCCCCATTTCCTTAACATTCCTTTCCCCTTTCAGAAAAGCCAATGTTGTTGCTTGGAAAACTTGCCTTGTCTCTTTAGTGCCATTTTCTTTTGAAAGGGAAACCCGATGAAATGTTAATCAGTTTAAAAAGAAAAAAAATCAAAAAGCAGGGTAATCTTAAAGGCCCAGTGATAAATATTTTTATTTTTCAAATTAAGTACTTCTGGATGAACAATTTGCTTTGCATCCTTTGAATTTGTTGGACATGACATGGAAAGGCAAAGAGAAAATTCTCAAGCTTCGCACAATTGTGTAATAAGATACGGCCTGTGACCTGAGAGGCAGGCGGGCATGCTTCTGGAGGAAGCGAAGTGAGCTTTGGAACAGGTGCAGCAGCTTCGCTTTTCTCACATAACCGTGCGTGTACGCAGTTTACTATAAGTTCTGATTATGTTTCTACATCAAGCTTGAAAAAAAAATACTGCATGCTACTTTAAAACTGCCCATCGCATTTGTGTCAGGGTAATGCGATTTGGTCTTGGGTTCATCTTGTGTAGAAAGAACCAGTTAGCATTTCAGAACAGTACCTTTCAATCTGCTGTTCTCTCCAGGTAACTGACTTACCCATGGGGGAGGGATAAGTGATAGTAACTTTTTCCTCTCTGTAATTCATCTGTAGATGGGACATCCTCACTTTCACTGGCTCCCAGTTCCCGATAGGATAAACCCAGTGTCCCCTGCCAGGTGCACTAGCCCCATTATTGGTTTTCAAAATGTAAAATCGTGTCATATTTATGGATAGGAGAAAGTAAGAGTTTGGTTAATAATTTCTTTATTGCTCTTACTCAAATTTGACAAGTATGATTACCGGAGCACTCTTGTATTGGGCTGGAGTCATTGTTAACTGCTATTATATGATATATGTGTTATATACACACAACATTTTTAATGCTGACCCCAGCCAGCCTGCACCATGTGCTTCACGGTGCCCCATGCTGCTTCATGACTCTGAGCTCTTCTCTCATCTCCCCACTGCCTCTGCAATATGCCTCCTCCCCTTTGTCAACCTGTATGCTCCTAGACTCAGCCTAAGTCGTCATTATCAAACTTTAGAAAGTGCAGATATTCAAAAAGGAAAATACAAAATGAGATCATCTATAATTCTACAGCCAGGATACCCTGCTACCATGTAGTTATCTGTACTTCCAGCCCCTTTTTTGTTAATGTAGTGATATGTTAGGGTCAAACAGGCCACCCAAGTCTTGAGCATCCCTTCTAGATGTCAGATCCTTCAAGGTCATTCAGGTGATTTTAACTCACAAACCAGGCATCCCATGGTCAATGTAACTAATATGCTTTCGCATTTCTCTCCTCAATGTGAGCCTATATCCTCACACGCTTCCTGAGAAGGAAACAGGCTTTTCTTTCCCTTGAATGGAAACCTTTTTGGAACAATAATAGGCCCTGCTGCTAATTAGAGTTCTGGTTCCTCCACATCCTACACTTAGAGTCCCAGGAAAAGAGATCGTCGCCATAAGCTATAGAAGCAGACGCTAAAAGGGCCTACAGGCGAGACTCAAGGGTTTCTAGGGAGGGAGGAGGGGGATATATTTTCATCTGTCATAAAGGAATGGTCCCCACTCCTGACTGTAATAATTAGAAAATCTCCCCTCATACCAAAGGCTCTTGTCTGGATTTCAGGACTTGCTCTCCACCCCTCACCCACACCAGGCTACTGAGAGTCTTTGTTAATAAATAGTCCTCTTCAAACAAGGCAGTCCCATCTCAGCTTGAGAGCCAGGCCTGGACTTAACCCTTGCCATTCTCAATGCACACATCTATTTTGCTTACTTGTAGGCATTTATCTATTTTTTCATATTTCTATTTAAAACTACAATGCGTATGGTGGGGAGAGGAGAGGAGGCGTGTCAAAGATCCAGGAGTCTGCAACAGTATTTCTTTTCCTCCTTTCCCCCAGTGGGTACCATGCTGGATGACCCATCTGGAAGGAGGCCTTTGGCCCTTTTGTGGGGCTGGCTCCGTGCTCATCACAGCCATCCCTTCCCCCTTGGCAGTTCAGCTTCTCTCAGCCTTCTGTGGCTCTCCAAGTCTCACATTCATGGGCTCATGCCTTTTCCATTGCAAGTCTGGACTTCTTCCTGTTTCAGCCAAGAACGTTCCATTGCCATCCTCTACCTACCTCTACCTCCTTCTGCCACCTCACTCCATCTCCATGTAGACGCAGTTGGGGCTGGCCTTGCCTAAATAGACTCGATATCTTCAATTTGCCAAATAGAGCAAAGAAAAGCCCCCAGATGCAAAAAACCTACCTTCTTCTAGTAGATGAGGAAACCAAAAGATTTTTGTTTTGGGTCTGTTTGTTTTTAGTTATTAGGATTTTGTTTGTATTATCACCATCTAGAAGTTATTTAGCAACATTGACTATTTGAACTCAGACTTAATTCTCATTTTGTTCATTTGTATTACCATAGGCCTGTCATTACACCAACTTACCCAAGAGGAGGTAGGGGGATTCAAGGCAGGAGTCTGCTTCTGTCTTTGGAGCTCTGAGAATTCCATGCCCCCACAAGCTTGCTTCTATCTAGGCTACAGTGCAGAGTAGATGGCCTAAGGGAGTCTCAGTCTAGCTGCAGCCTGCCATAAAGAAAACAAATTCCTCCCTGCCCCCAGGGCCAGCCCACTTTACCAAACCATTCTGGGAGAAAAGCATTGGCGATCAAGGTTGATCATGTGAGTCACTGACAGGATATGAGGCCACCCATGGAAAGCGCAGAGTAACTTATAAAGTCATCTGTCTAAGCTCAATTCAGAAAGGCATCCGCTTCCCTAGTCCAGAAGAGAGCCTCAGCCACTCCACGTCGTATATCTCCTTGCTGGACTGAGTGCCAATTAGGCCACAATAAGCTCAGCATGTCTAAAAATCAACTCCTAACTCTTATTTTTTGCTGAGTTTTTCTTCTGGGATGTGGAAGAATACCTCTCTCTGCCACCACCGTTCCCCCTTTCCATAACCTCAGTCCTAATCCAGTTAGTCTGTTTACAGAGTGTCACTGGAAGCTGTCCTCCCTCCATGTGCAGGCCTGTGTTCTCTCTTCTGAGACCTGGCAGAAGCCTAAATGATCTCATTATCCCAGCCCACCACCCTCCAGCATGTCTTATACATCCCTGCCAGAGTTACCATCAAAAAGCGAACTCTGGCCAAGCGTGGTAGCTCACGCCTGTAATCCCAGCACTTTGGGAGGCCAAGGTGGGCTGATTACCTGAGGTCAGGAGTTCAAGACCAGTTTGGCCAACATGGTGAAACCCTGACTCTACTAAAAATACAAAAAAAATTAGCCAGGTACGGTGGCACATGGCTGTAGTCCCAGCTACTCAGGAGGCTGAGGCAGGAGAATCACTTGAACCCCAGCGGCAGAG